ACTTAATTCATGGAATTGGTCATAAGGTGTAATATACAACCTGAGTAAACTTTTAAAATCCCTTCTGTTCATCTCACATCATCTCACAATGATGTCATTTGTGTTTTCTCAGTCTACACGTGAAAGTTAAATGCTCTTGAAAGGAAGATTTTATATAAACTACCATCAAATCAATGTAGACAGTTTAGTATTGACACATGCAAGACCCCATCATTCATGGAGGACCACCTCACAACCTACACAGTCTGTTAGAACATGACTTCATTGTGGTAAATTTGGAATACCTCCTTCAGAAGCATACAACTTCTGCACACAGCTATGCTTGCAAAATGTTTTTTAATATATGGGTTATATAAATATATAGCACATCCAGGAGGCTCCCCTGCAATCTATCCATATCTGAGTCAGGATGCAGCTTTGCACCAAAACATCACACTAACCTGACATTAAAACCACAGGTATCACGTCATCGGTCAACCCATTCTCACTCCCATGTCGTCACATATTGACGCTTTTCCAAGGTTCCCTCTACGTCCGATTTTGACGCGCTGGGTAMCCCCGTCACGTCAGTTACTGACGAGATGGGGCGAAATCTGTTGTCATATTTTCAGAAAGTGTAGAAAATGCGCAAAAACTACCGTTCCAAAGCCTGAAATTACCTTTGTTCACTTTAGACATCCTGTCCCTGACCCTAGTACGTAAAATTAACCATTTTTAGAAAATGTAGGAAATTCACGTCAACATGTTCCAAAGCCTGAAATTACCTAATATTCACCATGGACATCTTACCCCTGATCCCAGTACCTAAACTTAACCATTAATCCTGATCCCTCATGTTAACCTCAGACCCCCGACCCAAAGACCCCTGGTGGCGCAACCCGGAAAAGCCGCGGGCGTCAAGGACTGACGCGAGGGGGTCACCTGATGCGTCAAAATAAGACGCAGAGGGAACTTTGGAAAAGCGTCAATATGTGACGAGTCGGGAGTGAGAATGTGTAGCATCGGTAGATCATATTCATGACCTTGTCACTATCACGGTTAGCCTAGGCATGAATAAAGTGGGGCCAATCCTGTTTCACCTAAGCCACGCTGATGCCTGCAGACCCCATGTCATGGACACACAACTACCACTGCCACCATGCTTCTACATTCCCCAACGCTTTACCCAGGACCCTATACACTGCCACAACAATGGTAAAGCACTCCACTCCTAAAGTTTWGTCCATGCTCAGAACTATTACAGACCTATATATGTCACACATARTGGGAGAATCAAGAACGGCAAAGACCATTGAAGTTCTGGCAATTTTTTTTTTCTATTTTGTGGTTGGTTTGCATCCAGTGAGAAGTGCAGCTGAGAAAGTAGAAGCTGCACTGAGCGTGACTATTTGAATTCAAATCTGTTTCAAAAAGGCCCAAACTGTAATGAAGTGCAACAATATTATTCTTAATGGAGATACCTAACTGTTATATGCCATGAGGTCTGTGCTGCGTATGTGTGTGCATWTGCAGAGGAAAATAGATGGGTGGGTAGATTGGATTGGAGGGGGGTACTAACCAGTCTAGCTGTTGCTGCCAGAGATGCTAGTGTGTGGGATTAATAATGGACGCTTTTGAAATTATTATTATTCCCAAAATGCTCTTTTATGATTTGCTTTTGAAGGGCATGCATATGTGTGTGGGTGGGGTGGCAGGGAAATGGGGGGCAGGTATTAAATGAAGTGTGTGTCTGCATGGAGAGTGGGGAGGGGGTGCTAAATAGGGTGGGGGGTATAGCTAGTGAGGAGGGGGTTGAGGGGTGCCTTGCTTGCTCATTTGGAGAGCTTTTCCAATTATACAATTAGTCTGGAATGTAGGCCAGAAGCTTTAGTGTTCCTCCTTCTTCCCGACCCTGGATAGCAAGTACCTTCACCTTTTTTTTCTTTTTTCTTTATCTACTTCTTTGACAGAAAAGACATGAACATGGACTGAGTAGATGCAGACTTAAAACTGGGATCTTTATGCATCAGGAAAAGGTGAAAGTGATGATGACGGTCTACAGAGCATTAGAAGGTTGAAGCAGTAGAGGGGTGCTGAACACCACCACAGTGCTATGCCAACCACTGTTGCTTCCTCTTCTTCCCTCTAGAATGAAGTGATATGATAAATGGATTTATGATGAAGAACAAATTGTTTTATAATTTGGCCTCTTTCTGATTGTCCTCTCGCTGTCGCCTGGCTGCTACCAAGTGTGCCGTACTGGGTTTAATATGAAGCAACAACAACAGCCAAGTGCCATCTGTTGGCATGCGGATTTTCTGTAATCTCTCTTTACTGATTACAACAATGACTACACAAACCTCTTAAATAATTATCCCGCAATGTAAAAAAAAAGCTAAATAATTATAATCATTAACTCCCACCAAGTCTGCCACTCCTCCAGCAAATGAAGGCTGTCAGAGAGAGAGAGAGAGAGAGAGAGAGAGAGAAACAGAGTGAGAGAAGGAGGTTTTTTTTCTGCTGTGATGCCAATCATGTCTTATTTATACCAGCAGGGCAGAGTACCACACAGCAGCGACGGTCTTAACCTAGCTACACCAAACGAAGGAAACTGAAAAAAATGACCCATCTACACCCTCTAACCCACCCTTCACTTGCCCTAGCACACTTTATTTTTTATGTAAAAAAATAATAAATCACTCTAAAAACAAGAGCAACTTTGATAATTTTCAAAACTTTTAACGGTTCACGTTTAGACCAAATAAACACCAGTTTMTCCATTGTAAGTTAGTCAGTAAATGTAAGTGGGTAAATGCATTTGTTTCAGCTGAGTTCCAGAAGCAAAGCACGCCCTGACTTCCACAAGGAGCAGAGTATGTATGCACATGTTCTTTTCTTTTTTACTGATGAACAAGAAGGTTTGTATCCATTTTCCAAGGGCAGACAGAGAAACATGGACAATGGACCAATATACAAGGTTGCAATTTTGTTTCTAGACCACTTTTTTGTAACTAAAATACAGTAGCTTCATTCTTTTTGTATGTGGTGTAAAAGTAAATCTTTGCCATGTGGATCTTTAGAGTTGTGTACTCAAAAACAACAATTATATCATTTTGTTGCAAAAAACTGGTGAGAAAAATGCATTAAAAATTGGACAATGGGATTTTTTTTTACGTAACCAACCTTTTGAATAAAGGATAAGCATAGATAATTAAAAAAAACTATTTGTTTTAAGCAGAAATTTTAATTTGAAACTTTTAAGTTTTAAACAAACTCATAAAATCCAAAAAGAAAAAAAGAAAATGTGTTGGATCAAGTTTCTCAAACGAGTTTGAAAGTGCAAAATGTACAGAAATTTTTAAAACCATTTTTATGCTTTTCCTCATTTTTACATGTTTTTATGCATTGGCGTGTTTGTTTATGCATCTTTCTCTATATCAGTCATCCAAGACTGTGAGTGTCTGCGAGTTTGTGTGTGAGCACTTTTGTGTGAGAAATGGTGTGAGAATACGGCAAGGGTAGCATGTGTTAGCTCTGCTTCCAGTATGAGGGAAATCTGTGGCACATACCTCCGTTGTGACACAAGCCAAAATGGCATGACTCACCCATTCTATATTTGATTAATAAAACTACAGGAGGCAGATGGTGATCCTATATAACAGATCACTGCCAAAAAATAAATAAATAAATAAAAAAGCAGTCTGAATGGGCACGTTTCATTGCCTCTATATACTATAGCTTTGTATAAATATCAATTGTGAATTTAAAATGCCTAAGTACAGAGTATCAAGTTTCATTTGTTACATTTTATACTGTTTTTTTTTCACAAAAATTGTCTTTGAGAATGTAAAATTAAAAACTATATATATATATATATATTTTTTTTTTTTTCCACAGAGCATGGCAACACTGACAATGCCCACATGCTGATGACAGAATATTGGGTAGGATGATGCATTTTAACTTCACAAAAGCAGAGCCATCCTCTGACTTGTCATAAGATCTCCCATCATGGACACACACAGACACACATGTGCAGTTTTATAACAGCCCATCACAATGAGATGGGGTGGCCACGCTTATCCAGCTCCAGGAATAATGGCTTGCACCTGTTTACCGTGTCACCTCTGTTAGTTAATTGTCTTCTTGAGCTACWTCGTGTGGGAATGACAGAGATGTGGCTTTTTGACAGACCACGTGGTCACATGGATGTTTCAACATGTAATGAAGAGACTGGTGTCAGACATATTTTGCGAAGCACGGTCTCGTTTCCTGTCCAACAGGCACGTTGCTACTTCAGACAATTAGCCAGACAGAAAGAAGGCAAGAAGAGGTCAGTTTTAACTGGCAGTCAAAAAAGAAACTGACCAAAAACAATGGAAGTACAAGATGATTGTAACCTTTGATGTCATCGAGTGAATATTTGAGTAAAGCATTTGGACTTTGGAGTAAAGGATCCATTGATGACACAGAAATTCATCACATAAATGAGTGTTTTTTTTATTTATTTAATTTGAGCCCATTTAATATACAGATGTATTTGCCTGCAGTAGTTTTGTAATTTAATCCAGTTTCTTGCTTGTTTAAAGTTTATTGTCCAGATTTCAGATTTTGTGTGCGTTAGGGAGGATTCAATTGTTTGTCAAGTTCCGTTGGTTTCTGTCCATTCAAATGTAAAATGTTCCCACGTTTCCCATATTTGTATATTTTTTTTCAAATCCATTTTTTCCCATTGTTTCAACACAAAACAGTTAGCTGTGGGAGAACATACTCTATTCTGTAAGTTTTATGCACCCCAGAGTGAGCCACTGTCCCACCAACCGACTGTGACAAGGAAACTGCCGTGTGAACATCTCAACATTATGACTGGGAAGTTTGACGCTGCCTATAAAACGTGTGGTTAATTGTCTTCCTCCAGACAAAGATTTAAATGAAATCAAAACCTAAGAGCACGAGTCTGTAAATGTGACAGACACCTTTAATATCCTCCCCTTTCCCTTGATCAATGGGTATGATCGTACCTGCGTGACTGCCGCCTCTCCAACGGGTGCCGGATGTCAGGAAGAGCGCCGACAGCTTCACAGAAGGTGGGACGACAACAGCCTGTAAACAAAGCACACACACCAGGAAATTCATTGTCACCTGCATTTGAAGCTTGACAAGTTTGCAACATTGGCGACAGAAAAGAAATACCCATTAAAAGCTGTCTGCTGATGCCCCCCCACCCCACTCCCCCACCTCCTCTCACTGTCTACTTATTGGGAAACTTACTGCGAAGACGTACAATACCGTTTACACCATCCTGAATAAACATACCCATTATTAAAGTGGAATTGCTTCTACTTTGCAATAGTTTACTGTTTTCTTAACCATATTTTTAATTTAGTAGTTTAATAACCAAGTGAAAAATCATCATATTTTACACTGATAGTCTTTTTTGGAATTTTTACAACAAATTTTACAACAAGCCTTCTGATAATCCTGTTAACTGTTATATATTTTAAGTCCATTGTGGTATGTGCATACTATAGTAAATATTTTATATGTTACACCATTTATTGAACTAGCTGTAATTCACTGTGAATACAGAGCCAGTTAGTAATACTTCATTGCATCTTCTCATTTAGCAAGTGTTTTTCTTTAAAGCGGTAAACCAATCAAAGTAAACATTTGCAGTCCTGCACAGAAGAATATTTTATACAAGCACTCAATGATGGTCATTTTAAAAGTCAGACACAAAGAAGAAGAAAAGTGAAGTCACCTAGAAGTCAGTTTTTCTTTTCTTTTCCCCCCGGTCAATAATGTTAATGAACAGCTAAGGGTGGCCAGAAATTAAAGAGTGAGAACCGGAATCACTTGCACTTACTTTAGATAATAGCACTTTTGACACGCAACCATGTTCAGAACCATCTGTGGCAGTTTTACCAGGGGAAACATCAGGGGGAGCATTACAGTTTGCAAGGCAAAAGATCACCATGACCTATTTTGTAAAATGCAAAGCACCATATCTGGAAAAC